AGTTTAAAACTTTAACACTTATTGAAGGCGAGCCTTCCGATGCTCGGGCAATCATATGGGGTGGAGTGACTGGGTGGCCGGAGGCCCCCCCACCGTGTTCTTGGGCGTCTGGGTGAGGAGGCAATGGGACTTGGGGAGGAGGGCTGTTGGTTACACAGGGGCTGTAGCGGCGGTCTCTGCTCCTGCTGCCTTTCCTGCAGCTCAACCATACGCTGGAGCATATCAGTTTGATGCTCCAGCAGCCGGAGCATCGACTCTTGCCTTCTATCTGCAAGCTGACACCACCTATCATCTTCAGCCTGCCACTTGCTCTGTTCAGCCCGCGATTCATCCCGCCACCTCTCCTCTCGTTCATATTGTGCTTTTTTGCACTCTGACATTGACTGCCTCCACACATTCTGCTGTGCTCTTTCAGCGTGGGAGGACATCTGGAGCTCCGTGAACATATCATCCCGAGTCCACCGTTTATAACCATGTTTAGAATTCTCTTTCCTGCTATGTTGTAAATAATTTTTCCTCATTTCAGGATTTTTTGTGTGTGTTTTTAAAGATTCTTCTGTTTTGTTTTGTACATATGTCTGATTCAAAATCAAGCTTTACTGGAGATAACCCCTTACAGGGCATAGAGAGAATAGAATTCTAGCTTTTGGCATAAGAGGATACTTGGCCCTCTCCCTTGCTCTTGCCTTTACCTTATCCCTTCCTCTCCCACTTTGTAGATCTACTTGTGAAAAGGTATCATTACTCCATTCAAATTAACAGAATTGCCTGATATTAATATTAATTTGATCTTTCTTTTTCATAGCCCAGTCACTGAAAGAGTTTGCCCGGTTACTGATTGCTGTAGAAGAGGAGAGAAGACGACTTGTAAGTCTAATATAGTATACTTTTATTTTATTTTTGAAAATACCAAAATTTGTTCATGCATCCTGAGAAAACATTCTGAGCTCCTCTGTACTTGTAAAATATATCCTATACACGATGTATTTGCAGCCACGTTAATGAAACATTTTGCTTAAAATATTAGTTTAATGTGGTTTGGTAAGGGGTAAAATACTCCAGTAGTGCAGCTGTTAAATTTGGTGTAATTTTGCTGCTTAGGCTGCCAAGATCAGGAAATTAGCCAGTCTTGAGCCTCACTGTGTTGAAAGAGGCCCAGTAAAGTGCTTCATTACAAACATCAATGAAGTAAGGTTATTACTTTAAAAATACTTTCTTTGCTATGATGATAACACAGCCCATCCAAAATGGATATTGAAAGCAACAACAGCAGAGTAGAAGGGAATAAATAGAAGTTTGAAATGGGCCACCCTCATTACCACTACAAAAGTGATTTTTCCTCCCTTGGTATTCTACTGTTAATTGAATTGTCTCGTTAGACTGACCCCCAACTTGGTAAGGCAACTCTCGTCTTTTCATGTGCTATGTATATATACACCTCTACCCCGATATAACGCAACCCAATATAACATGAATTCGGATATAACACAGTAAAGCAGCGCTCCAGGAGGGTGGGGCTGCGCGCTCTGGCGGATCAAAGCAAGTTCAATATAACGCGGTTTCACCTATAACACGGTAAGATTTTTTGGCTCCCGAGGACAATGTTATATTGGAGTAGAGGTGTACCTGCTACTATATTTTCCACTCCATGCATCTGATGAAATGGGTTTTAGCCCATGAAAGCTTATGCCCAAATACATTTGTCTGGTTCCAAATAGAGGTGTTTGGTTGACTGGTCAGTTTGTAACTCTGATGTTCGTAACTCTGAGGTTCTACTGTAATTCATTTTTTTTCAAAGAAAAGCAGTGTACATAAACACTAACTCACAAATCATTTAAGATTCCATTGTTGTTCTAATATAAACTTTTAATTTTTTTTAAATGATGGAAACATAGTTAAATTATTTTGTTTTAATGAAGTGTATATTTTCTTGGCGTGATGGTTTCTATTGTATTCCACTGAGGCTTTATGCATGCACACCATGCATCCAGAGCTGGAGAATTTAAAAGTAGTGTCCATTGGACCGCGTATGTGCCCTGGTTTGCCTCAAGGTTTCATCCGAGGTGATAAAGGGCAGGGCGGACCAACCATGTTTCCAGTTCATAGACTCATAGAAGAATAGAGTTGGAAGAGACCTCAGGAGGTCATATAGTCCACCCCCCTGCTCAAAGCAGGACCAACCCCAACTAAATCATCCCAGACAGGGCTTTGTCAAGTAAGGCCTTAAAAACCTCTAAGGTTTTTCCTTCTCACGGCTGCATGGGCCATGTTGGAACTTTCTGTGTCCTCGTCTCTGATGCAGCTTTAAAAACATTGTTGTACTTAGTTTTAGAATTTTACAATTTATAGTGTTTTTAGCTATTTTTAATTTTTTTTTGTAGTTTTAGTGATTAGGATAGATACTGGAGATACTGGACTATGCCTAAGACCCCAGGTTTTAAAATCTGTACCTCCTGCCTGTGTTCCTTCTTGGTCAGTGACAAACATCAATGCTGCCTTTACTTCTTGGGAGAAGCCCACAATGCATCCAGGTGTAGATCTGCCTGTCCTTCCCCAGCCATACCCAAGAAGGGTGGGCTGTCCACCTCCGAAAGCACCTTATGGAAGTCCTCATGAGGCCTCACTCAGACCCACGCCAGGGGACTCCCTGTGTACATTGGCCCGAAACAGCCAGGAGTGCACCTGTGGCTACTGAGTCCAGATCTGGCACTGGTGGTACCACCACTAAGGACCCTGTGCTGGGACCTAGTCAAGAGGTAAGGAAGCATGTCCATAAACATGGCATTAAGTCTTCCTCAGAACCAAAGAAAGGGGATGCTCCTTCCACGAATTTGAATCACGGACAGGGAGTGCACTTTTATACACCTAAACATGAGACGAATTCCCACAATCAAGGGAATCAGGCAGTCCTGGGTACCGAACCACAGGTACTGTTGACTTTGATTCCTGAGGTTCCTGGTGGGCTTGGAACCCATTTCCAATACAGGGTTCTTCCCTTTGGACTAACCACTGCTCCCAGAGTCTTCACCAAGGTTTTCTCCGACATGGCGATCTTCATCAGGCATCATGGGGTCCTCATATTCCCCTATCTAGATTAGTGATTCCTGGCTGCACGATCCAGACACGAAGCCCAAGTTTCAACCTCCATGCTGCTTAGCATTCTTTCATACCTTGGAGCCAGTATCAACATAGAAAAATCAACCTTGGACCTCACATAATCCCTCGACTTTATAGGGGCCACCATCAACTTGGTCACAGCACAGACCTACCTACCAAGCAACAGGATCCAGACACTGCAAAAACTCATAACTCGCATTGTCAACAATCCTTATGTCTCTGCCAGGACTTGCCTGTCTCTCCTCGGCCACATGGATTTGTGTACATATGTCGTTGCCTTTACTCAACTCAACCTTCGCTGCCTCCTGATGTGGCTCCAGACCATGTATGCGCCCAAATATCACACCATGGACTTGCTGCTGACAGTTCCCCACAGGGTGCTCTCTCTAGGGGTGGACAGACCCACGTCATGTCTGTGTATGGGTTCTCTTACTCCCTCCTCCCCAGACAGGACGATCATCATGGACACATCCTTTGTTAGTTGGGGAGCACACATGGATGATCATATGATACAGGAAACATAGACTCCTTGGGAATGCAGGATGCACATCAACATTGTGGAACTCTGGACTGTAAGGAAAGCATGTCAAGCCTTTCTCCCATTCATCTGTTCCCATCATGTTCTTATCATGTCAGACAAACCACCACTGTTTTCTACATCAACAGAGGAGGTCGGAGGGGGATACGAGGTTGACTGCTCTGTTTGCAGAAGCAATCAACCTCTGGAATTAGTGTGTCACCCACCAGGTCCTCTTGTCTGCAGCCTATCTCTCAGGAACACAGGACCTGATTGCGGACTCTCTCAGCAGGCAGTTTGTGATCAACCACGAGTGTGAACTCCATGAATCCGAAGTTCAGGACATCTTTAGCTGATGCGGGATGCTGAACAGAGACCTCTTCACCTCCCACATAAGCACCAAATACAACCTCCAGGAGAGGTCTTGGTCACCACTCTCAAGGCAACATTTCATACTCTCCTGATCAGATCCACTCAACTATGCCTTCCCTCCCCTTCGGCTCCTACCCTGAGTACTCCACAAGATCAGATGTGACAGAGCAACAGTCCAGACAATTCTGGTTTACCAACCTCCTTCATATGTCCACCTGACCACCATTTCCCATCCCCATCTTCCCTGATATCCTGACAGAACAGCGGCGAGATCAGACATCCCACTCCACAGGTGCTCCATCTTAGAGCATGGTATTTGAATGGACAACTTTTCTAGAATGGGTCTGTTCCTTAGATGTCCAAAACATTCTCTGCAGAAGCAAGGAGTCCACTAGGCACTGTTACCAGGCCAAGTGGAAATGCTTCGCCTCAAGGCCCAACAAAAGGGACTTTCCCCAGAATCCGTGGGGATCCCCCTCTTCCTGGACGGTATACCTCCTGTCCTTGAAGTCATTGGGTCTCATCCTCCACTCTCTAAAAGTCCACCCAATGGTGTTTAGCACCTTTTACCCACCCATGGAAAGGCGGTCTGTCTTTACACACCCACTAACTGTTAGGTTTTGGAAGAACCTTCTTACCCGTCTAACCCATCGCTCCCCAGTGAGACCGTAACCTAATTCTGCCCATACTAACAAAATCACCTTTCAGCCCACTGGCATCATGCTCTATGTCCCTCCTTTCCATAAAAGTCACATTCCTAGTTGCTATCACTTCTGCAAGAAGGGTTGATGAACTCTGAGCCATTATGGCAGACCCCCCCCCGCTTCACAATTTTCCATAAAGATAGCATCTCACTGTGTCTGCATCTCAAATTTCTGCCAAAAGTCATCTCCTTGTTTCACATTAATCCATCCATTCACTTCCCTGTATTCTTCACAAAGCCACGAGCATCCACAGAGGAATGATGACTCTATTCCCTAGACATCCAATGGGCTTGGCCTTCTCCCTGTACAGAACAAGACCCGTCAGGAAGTCCCCCAGACTCTTTGTTGCAGTAGCAGAAAGACTCAAGGGTCAGTCAGTCTCCACCCAGAGAATCTCCAAGTGGATTTTGGGTTGCATTACACTGTGCTATCAACTATCTTGCCTTCCTCCACCTACTGGGATGCAGGCTTATTACCTACGAGAACCCAGGTTTCAACCACGACCTCCCTCCACAATGTGTTCCTCTGGGACATATGTAGAGCGGCCCCGTGGAGTTCAATGCATGCCTTTGCTATGCACTACACCTTAGTACAGGACTCCGCGGCAAATTCCTTCTTCAGCATGGCAGTCCTCCACTCAACCATTACATTTTCTTCATCACACCCTGCTCCAACTTAGGTACTGCTTGTTAATCACCCTCAGTGGAATACAGTAGGGACCATCACTTGAAGAAGAATAGGTTAATTATCTGTTACAGGAGGTTCTTTGATATGTGTGGTCCCTATCTGTATTCCACTTCTTGTCCTCCTTCCCCCTGTTACGGGTCTGTTGGTTTTGCGGTGGAGAAGGAACTGGAGGTGCGATTGGTCCGTCCTGCTTTTATCACCTTGGATGAAACCATGAGGCAAACCAGAGTGAATGCGCAGACCAGCAGACACTAATTTCAAATTCTTTGACTCTGGATGCATTGTGCGCATGCATAAACACTCAGTGGGCTACAGTTAGGGACCACCCATCTCAAAGAACTTCCAGTTACAGGTAAGTAACCTCCGCTTCCAAAATACTATCCAGTGGTACAGTTTGACTCTGCATGACATCCTATATTTTCTAGGGCTGTCAAATGATTAAAAAAATGAATCGTGATTAAGCACATTAT